CCTCACTCCCCACTGCACCCCCTCAGCCACTGTCTGCACCGCTCCCTGGACACAGCTACCTGTTTCCATCTCGAGGCTTTATACTTCTGGAACACCTTCCCAGGCCCATCCATTCATACAAGTGTTCATGGAGCACTGGACTGTTCTAGGCACTGGGGAAGTGAGCAAAATAGACGAGAGCCCCGTCTGTCCCCAGAAGCCCCATTCCTCCCCAGAAAGCCCCTTCTTTTTTTTTTATTATAATAGTTTATTTTTACATATTTTTGTGCATTTTCCCATCTCAGTTGCAATCTCCTTGGGAGAAAGCCCCCTTTTTTTTAAATTTTATAATAGTTTATTTTTACATATTTTTGTGCATTTTAGAAAGCCCCTTCTTAATGGGCTTCTCAAGATGATTTTCCTGGCCTCCACCATCTTGTCAAAACAGCATCTGAGCTATCCAACTCGATTTCTGCCATCATGCTCCCACCGGGTGGCGAGATATTAATATATTTGCTGTCAGCGGCCTCCACTAACACATTGGCTCCCAGGAGCCAGGAAGCATGTGTGTCTGTCCTGTGCTCTGCTGTCATGTGCCTAGAACCGAGCCTGACAAAGTAGGTGCTCAATGAAAGGTTACCGAGTGAGTGAATAGCTACATGTAGTGTGCTAACAAGGAAAGGTGGTCAAAGATGGGGGAAAGGCGGCTTGCCAAGCCACGAGGCAGGGCTCCATTTGTCAAGCCTCGACGGTGTTTAAAAACCATCTAGCCAGCCCTGAGTTTGTAGGAATTGTGCTGGGGATCCGCCCCACACTGGTCACGGAGGGCGGCTCAGACGTGAGCTCCAGGGGGGTTTCTCTGTAGCAGGCAGCTCATACCACATGTGTAAGCAGAGGAAACAAAGGGTTGGCTTTTAACCTCTGAGAACCTTTGATGGCGGGCAGACACGCTTATAATTTTCTAAACTATCTTTGTACAAAATGGGGTTAGGCTCAGTGCAATTTTTGTTTGAAACACAGTCAATATAAAAGTTGTTCAAACTGGCATTCGAAATGCTCTATGTAAGAGATGAATTCTGGAAAGCAGGTAACGGGGGCATCCTGTCGTAACAGTCCCCTTCTGTGTCTACCTGCGGTTTCCACGATGTGTGAAAACGAGCTGCAGAATTGGTAGGGGACGTGTCATTGTGATGTGTCCTTTGCAAATGCCAACCTAGGACACCCGTGCAAGCCAGCACTGAAGGCCGGATGGAGACCGTCAACAGTAAAGCTGCAATCTGCTGCTCTGTGACTATGCGCTCAGCTGAAGGAGAACTGCTGGTGTGTGTCTTCCTCTAGATGGACAGAACGAGCGGCAGGTTTCTACAGAACCCTACACCGAATCAGTCATCACAACTGACCAGGCACCCCCTGCGTCCAGTGCCCTGTGTGGGGATCCAGAGCCCAGACAAGGCTCTCGCCCCGAGGGTGAGGGTGCCCCAAACGCAGTGGGTGGCCTCACCTGAGGTCCTAGGTCCTGTGCTTCTAAGCACGCTCCCGCCCGGGCTCTGTCACCCCAAGAAACTCAGTGAGAGGTGATAGCCCCGATTCAAGAGGGGAACCGAAGGGAAGTTCAGAGAGATGAAATGGCTAATAGGGCTGGCATGGGCACCCGAGGCAGGTGCTCACTGCGTGGTCGCTACTAGTCCCACTCTAGAATGGGGTTCTCGTTGCCACCTCAGCTGGGGGTGCTGGAGGCTGATGGCTCTGTACCAAGGGCTTGAGGGGACAGTGGGGGCCACCCTGTGCGACACCGCCCCAGTCCTGCTGCACAGCACTGGGCTCCCTCTGCTCCCCTTAAGCCTGCTCCTTCTCCCCCTCACAAGGCTCAGTCTCCAGGGCACTCCCAACACCCTCCCTGGCCTGCTACTCTCCACCTCAGAGTCAGCTTCCTGGGATCCAGATGGGAGAGCCAGACCAGAGGGTGCAGACTTCCTTCTGGGGACCCTTGGGGGGCTACAGCTAAAGCAAGCAGGTGATGCCAGACTTACACTGTAGAAAAATCCTACGGGAGTGGGGAGATGAAAGGTCAGGCCCATGAGGCAGCTGTGAGGCGGCGAGGCCTGGATTCATGCTGCCTCCCCGGGGAGGCCAGTTCCAGCAGTGGGCACTGGGTGGGATAAATGGACCGTAAGTGGAGCCTGAGCCCGGCGCCTGGCCCAGGTGACCGGTGTGCCAATGCCCTGGGCTGTCTTCCATCTGGAAGTCACTCAGCCGCTCTGGGCCAGCCTGTTGGGGTGCCAGCCCTGGCTCTGCCCACCACTAGCCATGTAGCCTGTCCATTAAGAAAGCCGGGCTAGTTCCAGGCCCTCCCGGGGTGGGGTCTTCAGGAGTCGGGGTTAGCACCAAGAGAGCAAACCCCGCAGGCTTCCCAAGCACTGTCTATAGGACGCGGGGTTGGGAGAGGCACACCTGGCCGCAGCCCTGTGTGTTGGGGTCAAGTCCCGTCACCGTGGAGCCCAGGTCTCGCCCCAGGAGGAGGGATCCTCTGGCCACGAAGGAGTGTCAGAATTAAGCAGCACCAGAAAGTTCTCGGCGCAGGTGTGGAATCAACAAACAGCAGCAGCTGCTTCAGGGAGGCTGGTGGTGAGAGTCCGTGTGAGGCTCCACGAACGTGGCCATCCCACGGCAGGCAGGCAGCTGAGCCTCGGCGAGCCAAACCCCGCCCATCCTCTGCACTCCCAGCCTGCTCCTCCTCCAGTGTTCTCTCCCTAAATGTCAGCGCCATCGCCAGCTGCCTGAGCCAGAATCCGGAGGGCGGCCCACGTCCCCCACCCAGACAGCCGCCCAGCCCTGATGTTCTCCAGCTCCCTGGCGTCCCCCTTTTCCTCCCAAGGTCATCATGTAGCCTTGCTCCTCCCCACCCCCCCAAGATTCTGAACCCTCACTGGAGCTGCCTTTGGGAGCAGTGCAGCCTATGGCCCCGCTGCTGAGGGCTAAATTCTTTAGCCTGCTCTGCTCAGGGCATGGCACAGGGCCCAATATACAGTAGGCACTCAATAAATGCCAGCTGGCTGGAGAACGGATGCAGGCAGCGCTGTCTCCAGGTGCTTCCCATACCAAGAGGAAGAACACTGACATGACAGAGAGCACAGGCTGGCAGTACTCGCTGCCCACCAGCCCCTAAGACCTTGACGGGATTAGCTTGATCGGGCTCAGTCCTACCGTGGTGCTGGCGTTCCCCCACTTTACGGCTGCAACCTTGACATTACCAGGAGACGAAGGAACTTGCCTAGGGTCACACAGCCAGGCGCAGCACGGACAGGCTTCAGACAGTCTCAGGGCCACAGTCCCAGCGGTACAGCAGAAAAGCCCCCTGGGCCCATTAGGCAAATCCTCAGGCCGGTCCTAAGGGTCGGGCCAGAGGCACAGGGATTCCTTGTCCCGCGTTAAACACAGCCCATTCCAGGATCTCTTTGTTGATGAGTAAATCAGTGCCAGTTCGCGGTGATTTATGGTTAGGGGCTAGTCTCCTGAAGTCTGCTTACCGCCGGGGGTCTGGATGACAAAGGGTTCAGAGTCTCTGTGCCTGAGGACTGGGCTGTGGAAACCGAGGTCACAGGGAAGCCTGCGTGGGGAGCCCTCCCCAGCTCTGGGATTTCTGGCCTCCTGCCCCCTCAGGTCGAGGCTTGAAGCCACAGGAGCGGGTTTTAGAAGCTTTCAAAGCCGCGGGAGCCTGTGGCTGGGGTCGGGGACACCGAGCCGCCAGGGCCGGAGGGAAGCCCTTCCTCTGCCTGCAGTCGAGCAGCTCTGCAGTTCAGGGTTCTGAGGACGCTTTCATGGGGGAAAAGTTTTTGCTTTCCAAACAACTTTCAAAAACCAGCACCCTAAGGGATAAAAGTCCTTGTCAAACCAATTTGGCCTTCTTGAGTCTAGCCTGGTGACATTCAGGGGCTTGGGCCACATGGATTCTGGGATGGCAGGGTTCTGGGATTCCGGGATCCATGAGGATCACCAGCGCCCTCAGTCAAGCCCACTGTCAGGGCCGCCACGACAGCCTGTGGCCACAGCTCCTGTATGTCCTATCTCTGGGGACTTGCCCGCGTGAGTTCTCATGCCCAGAATAAAAAGGGGATTACACACCGGCCCCCTTCTCTGACAAGCAGTGTGAGGGGAGCTGGTCCCTGTTCTCTGTAACCCTTGCTACAGACTTGCTGGGTGTCATCCTCCCCATCTTAGGAAGGGCAAAGCTGAGCTTCAGGAGAGAAATGACTTACCAGAGGATTCAAAAAGGCTGGTCTGACTGAAAAATAGTCTCTGGTCACCCCCACCCCCGGGCCGTGCCCATCCCCCTTCTCCCCTTCTCCTCCTCCTGCCCACGGGTGCACAGGGTGCGGCGGCTCTTCCCTGGACCCCCACTCTCTCTTACCCCCACCTTTGTAAACACAGCACCACCTCGGTTGCAACACACTGCCCTCCTCCCACGCCCCCTTCATCTTGCTGACTCCTTCTCACCCCGCGGGAGTCACCCTGCGGTCACCTCTTCCGGGAAGACCTCCTTGGATGCCTGGCTGGGTCAGGAGCCTCTGGGGCCTGTGCCACCGCCCCATGACTGTCCTGGAGGCTGTGCTTTTCTGCATCCGAGGGGACCCAAAGCTCTCCCGGGCGACGGCCGGCTCCGCTGTGCTCGCCGCCGCTATATCCCGTGAACGAGTTTAACAGGCCGCGGTGTCCGCGACCGCCAGGGCCCTAAGAGGGGCTGGCAGAGCACCGCCAAGGGGCCCCAGCCTTAGCCCTAGCCCTGCGCCCAGTGGGAGCCCCTCTTGCTCCTCTGGGCCTCGGTGCAACCCCCACTCCACGTTTCTTTCATTCTCTGACTGAGGCAAAGCGGCATGAGCGATGCCCAGCGTGGGGCTCGCCAGCTCGGTGCACGGCACACCGCGGATGCGGCTGAGGCGGGAGCGCTCGCTCCTCCTCCGTTATGTGCCAGGCTGGCCCTGGGCTCCCGGCTGCGCCCCCGCCGCCCCCCCTGGCCGCCGTACCCGGTTTATGAGCTCGCCCACCATGCCGGTCCAGGAGCCGTTGGGCTCGGGCGCCCCGTACAGGCCGTCCTCCACCAGGCGCAGGCGGTAGCGGAAGCGGAGCAGCTCGGCCAGCTCCCGCAGCATGTCCACGCAGAAGCCCTCGAAGCGTTCGTTCCCGGACAGGGCCTGGAAGTTGGGTCTGCGCATGACGTACGGATTCTCCTGGGGAAGCGGGAGAGGACGGGTGTGAGAACCTGAGCACTGGGGGCTGGGCTGGGGATCCCCCCAGCCCGGCCCAGGCAGCTAGTTCAAAACCAGCTTGAAGATTGGGGCTGTTTTCATCTCCGGCAGCCAAGCCAATGCTCACTGTCACAAACTCAGGGCTTACGAGGGAGGCAAGCGACTGGAGATTGGATTGGAGGGTCCAACCCGAATGGGGGCTTTCAGAATGTCTAGTATGACTCATGGTTAAAAGCTACATTCGGTTTTGCAACCCAGCCTTGGTGCTACAAATCAGACCTGATCCTTATCCACCATGGGGAGCACACCCTGATAGTCTGTCCTGCTCTGTTTCACTATTTTTTTTT